TCTGAATGCACAACACGTTGAAGCGACAGATGGGCTACAGCAGCAGAAGACCACACCGGTTGCCACTCCTGTCACCTCAGAACAAGAAACAGAGGCTGCAATTTGCACAGGCTCACCAAAATAGGACCATAGAAAATTGTAAAAATGTTGCCTGGTCTGATGACTCTCGGTTTCTGCTGTGACATTCGGATGGTTGGTTTAGAATTTGGCGACAAAAACATGAAAGCGTGAAACCATCCTGCCGTGTATCAACGGTTCAGGCTGGTGGTGGTGGTGTAATGGTGTGGGGGTTATTTTTTTGGCACACTTTGGGCCCATTAGTACCAATCCAGGAAGGAGATGCAATCTGGTCCTAGTAAGGTGTACCTAATAAAGTGGCCAGTGAGTGTATGTTGAACAGTTAACATCTACTGAAATGTAGAGAAAATCTGCATATTTAAATAGCATTCTGTTAATTCAATAGAATACATTAATATTGTACTGCCTGCGTATCTTTTTTATGTGATACAAAATCTTGAACTTTCTGTCTCCCTCACTCCAATGTGTTTGAATAAAAGTCAACTGAACAAAGAGTGCTGTGTAAACATTACATAGGTCATCAGTCAAATTGACCCTCAACATATTTTAAGGAAAACTTTGGATTCATTAGCTGTAATTGGTAAATAACCATATAATAAGTGCAGAAACAACACAGATACATATAATTATGAAAAAAAAAATCTTATACAAAATAGCAATTTTCCATATCAAACAGCATGACAGACTGTTTATGTAAATAAGGGTGATAAAGAACATTAAAAATCCCACACAAATATGCAAACACAAAGGTTCTGAACAATACTAAATAAGTAATGACTGAAAGTTTTAATTAATTAAAAGAATTAATGCTCATAAATAGCTTGTTTGGCATTTTAAGAGAGATGCAGTGAGACACACAAAACAGCCTATTCAATAATGCAGAATTACTAAACAAATATGATTCTGAGGTAGTTAAATGATGGTCGATAAACCGCACCACTAGGGAAATGTGTTGGAAATGGCAATAATCAATATGTAGCAAAGCTTAATGAATAACATGGTCAAAGGAAATGTTTGTGATCTAAGACTGGAGACTCGAGGGAAATACAGCTTAATGAGGTCAAATAGACACATAAACCTAATAGTAGCTGATGGTTTACTATAAAGACTAATGAAGTGAAAGCTTCTCTGTGCTTTATTTTATGAAGAACAGTTTTGTGGCCTTCATTTGCACACACACGTGAAGTCTAGGGAGTCCCATTAGTAATTTTAGAGTTGCTCATGCATGCCTCATTCAAACTTGTTTGAAAGTTTAATAATCAACAGCAGTTATAAGAGAATTGCATTAGCTGCATGACAAAATATTTGAAACAAAATACAATTATTCTGGAAAAATCTTATATAACAAGAAAAATCTTATAAAACAAAAAAATGAAGCTGAATCATACTTGAAACGTATCAACAGTGTGTGAATATATCCATCCCCTAATGGTAAAAATGAATTAATTCTATTTTCTATAATCACACTTCCTTAAAACAGTCGGCAGAAGCACTTTTTAATGATGTGTCATCAGAGAGGGAAAATAACAATGTCTCCCTTATTAGCATAAACAGCCCTGAGTGAGAAGCAGCCATCTGCCATTGGATATTTCAGAGTATAGGATGCATAAAGGAATACCGTAGTCGCCACATTTTTTGTTTTTCACAAAGATAACATTAGCCCTGTTTTGAATCTGCCAGTATGAGGACACATAACGGTTGTAGCTCTGCCCTTAATGAAAAAGAGTGCCGTGATCAAAATCTCATTTAAATTTAAAGTGCCAGTTTTAAATAGTTCTAAAAAATGATTTGTGGGGTATTTTGAGCTGAAAATTTACATACACACTATAGGACCATCAGAGACTTGTTTTATATCTTGTAAAATTGGGCATAAGAGGGTATATGCAGAAGTATGCAGAAGGACTTTTAATTTTCAGTAACCTGGGTCAAGCGCTTCCGGTGAACTGAATGTCCTTACAAAATTGGCATGTTTAAGGTCTGTTTTCTTTAAAAAAATCAATGATCTTTACTGCCTGATTGATATACACTATAAAGTGGGTCTCAGAATGAGCAAGAAGCACTGCATTAAATGACCCTTTTCCACATCATGTCTTTAAAATATGAAAATGTATTTTACCCCAGTATTTTCAATGGAGTTTCTGCGTTTGCCTGGTGATTCTGACGATGCAAGCAGTCTATCACGTTTTACTTTTGAACAACTAAATGAGTTTATTTGACTGATTGTATTAAAATTACATTACAACATCAATGCTGTAAGAGGAATTGTATAAAATTGAAAAAAGTCACATTAAGCTTTCACCAGAAGTTCATTGGTATAGGAAGAAACACTAGCTGTGCATATAGCCTATAGGTCCTTTAATAAAATAACATATACTGCCATGTCAGTGCTGTGGAGAAAAACAGCTTTAAAACCACTTTAATAATGATCACAAACATAAAAAAATGTATATTCACAATCTAAAAATATTTAAAAAGAACAGATTTTCTTACAGTTTTTAACATTTTATGTATTATATTGAAATGTTTTAATTAAAAAAAGGCATTGACTTTAATAGTATTTTTGTCTTTATGATCATCAATGGCTGCTTTTTCCCAACACTCTTCAGAATATCAGAATATAAGTAAAAAGTTCATAAAAATTAGAACCACTTGAGTGAGAGTAAATTGTCAAGACATTGTCATTTTTGGCAATGAATTGTATCTGTAAATTTAAAATTGACAAAAAAAAGTTTTTCTATTTAGTTTTTTTTTTCTGCAAGTTTATTTATTAGTGTTTAATTTAAATGTGCTATTTTAGACTTTTATCCATGTGGACATGCCTCAGAAATGAGATGCAGATTCATAGGGAAATCCACACGAGGTGCTTTTTAATTAGCAAACAACAAAAGTATTACCACCCCGGGATTATTCTGATTCCATACCTCTATATACATTTCTGGAGAGTACAAAATACATCCTAGAAGCAAAATTGTTTTTGCAGTTTTCATGAATCCACCAGAGGTCGCTGTGTACGATTGTGTAGATCGCAAATTTCGAGTGTTATTCATGCCTGCTCTCCTCGCATAAGTCCACCAGAGGCCGCTGTTGACTGCCTAATTGATTGTCTGACCAACAGACTGATACACCCACTCTCCCCCTTCCCTAAATCCAACCAATAGTATTTTAAAAAGCACTGATTGACCCGCCCACCACCTTCCGTAAACCCATCCGCAGTGTTTTAAATAAAATAATGCAATCCAGAAAAAGAAAACTTTCTTTCTTGCTTTCTGGAAATATCTTCAATATTTTGAGATTGGACTGTAATACCAACCTCAGCCACTAGGTGTAAATTCTATATACTACACCTTTAACTAAAAAGGATAAGTGACTAGTTTGCAATGTATAAAACAGAATTAGCTTAATTGTCATCCTAAATGCAAAACATTACAAATAAACTAACATTTCAGTATGAGCTGTGAGACGGCGAGAGCATCACGATCTCTAGCTTGAGCAGTTTTAAGTGTCATCATCTCTGCTTGAGACTGAAGCATTGCTCTGAATATTCATGTCTGGTGGGGGTGGAAAGATAACAGAGGGAACAGTTGGATTCCCTAAAGCTAAGAGGAGTTATTAAGCCATGTCTTTAGCACGACGATTGGAAAGACGAGAGCGGGATCCTACCAGAGGCTTCAAGTATCCACTTGTCTGATATACATGACATTCACATAGCAGACAGAAGGCATCTTCAACCTTCAACTTACTGTTCTGTTTAGACATTGCTGTCAGTAATTTGTATGGTTTCTCAAAGTTCTTAGACCATAATTTTGACATTAAAGTGCTATTTTATTGCTGTTTGAAGCTATGAGAATTGAGGTGATGTGAAATGTATAGGAGAAAATGAAAGGTTTTTTTTGAATGCAAACATATTGTAAGAGGTTTACAAAACAAAATCAGGAAATAGCACAATACTTTGATTATTATAAATGCAATTACTGTTTATGAATTAGATTCTGTTCTTGGCTTAAATTTGTGTTGAATCTTTTGTTTATAATAGATGCATGGTTTGTAACAATGTCAAATTAGGATTGAATAAAATAAACAACTTGGTAATGAACATTGAATTATTTCCCCTCTAAATGGTTTACATTTCATCGATGTAAATATACGATTGTTTTAAAGATTTCAAAGTGAAAATACGGTAACAAATACTAAGGTGGAAATACATTTTGTTGTCATCATCCAGTCGAGTAGAGTTGAGTCGAGTCTTGTCCTGGTTTGTTCTGTCCTGCCCTGATCCCTGCCAGCCTTTCCAGTCAAGTTTGTTTGTTTGTTTATTTGTTTTGTTAATGTTTCTCCCCTCGGGGTTGTTTTTGTTGCCTTTTGTTTTGTTTTAATAATGAATAAAAACCCATTATTTTCATGCACTTGAGTTTTCACTGCTTTCCCCACCCTCCTTCCTTGACAAATAGTACTCCTACTTCTACTGAAGCACATGGTTGTACAAAGATTAAATAAGTAAAGAAAGAAACAAACTAATAAAAAAAATACCCCCAAATGAAGCCACATAAACATTTTTAAATGTGATAAGATTTGTTTAACTAGCACCAAAGTATCAATCAAAATGATCCAGCCTACAAGAATGATAACTGAAGGATCATGTGCCACTGAGAACTGGAATAACACTGAAAATTTAGCTTTACCATCATAAAAATAAATTAGATTTTAAAATTATTTAATATTTTACAATTTTACTGTTTTTATTTAGGACAATTGATCAAATAAATGTAACCTCAATGAGCACGAGAGACTTCAGAAGCATAAGAAAATCCTGTAGACCACAAACTTTTAAACACTACTGTATAAAAGTATTTAAAAAATATCTTAATATATCTCCAAACCTCCCAGTCCCCCGAAACCTTGAAAGAGTGTTTTGTAGCACTCACCTCCGATCAGCATGGTGCAGATAGAGAAGATCTTCTCTGAGTCGGTATTGGCTGAGACGTTGCCAAAGCCCACGCTGGTCAGACTGCTTAAAGCAAAGTACAGCGATGTCACATATGAGCTGCGGATGGAGGGTCCTCCTCCCAGTACGGCTCCAGTCTGTCCAGCGTTTGAAGGGGCCGCTGGCGCTGTGCCTGTGGAGTTCAGCTGGCTGGAGTTCCACACCGGCTCATGAGCCACCAGATCAGAGCCGTTCCACTGGCTGGAATTAACCACCAGGCCGTCCAGGATGGTGGGGCGCAGAGAGTCAGGAATGAGGGATGCGAGAGGTGACAGGAAGTATGGAGTGCCCAAACGTTTGCCCAGCTCATGCAACCAGCCTACGAGAAAGAGAAGGCAATGTTACATTAAGGCAAGGTAAAAAAGAAATAGAAGCATGCCTTTCAAGCTGATGGATTAAATTCATTCAATCCTTCATTTTCTTTTCGGCTTACTCCCTTTATTAATCTTGGCACGCCACAGCGGAATGAACCGCCAACTTATCCAGCATATGTTTTTAAGCAGCGAATGCCCTTTCAGCTGCAACCTAGCACTGGGAAAAATCCATACACACTTATTCACATACATTCACTACGCACAATTTGGCTTATTCAAAATGCCAACTGACCCAGGCGAGGCTCGAACCAGTGACCATCTTGCTGTCAGGTGATTGTACTACCCTCTGCGCCATCGTGCTGCTATGGATTAAATTAAAAATTGGAAATGTTTTTTATATGTTTTCTAAAATTTTGAATATGTAAATGAGATATTATTGTATTAAATATGTGCTTATTTGCATATATTTCTAGCACAGACATTTGAAAAAAAAGTAAGCCGGCTTAATTAAAAAAATTTTTTTGACACATTAAAGCCAAAGGTTTTTACAGAGGGGATTATTGGAATCTTGTTTTATAACATCAATTAGAAAATACTGTGAACAGTCAAGAAAAAATAAACATATATGACCACATCCCTCTGGAAATCCATCAGAATACAGATTTGAATAAAACTGTGATGCTTGGTGTATGTCAGTGCTGTTAAAGTGTGTGTGTGTGTGTGTGTGTGTGTGTGTGTGTGTGTGTGTGTATAATATAATCCATGCTGCTTTAAGAGCTTGAACATTTAAAGTGCAAGACAACAAAACTGTGGCACATGCTTAAACTAAATATAATGTTATAATTCGATCAATAAAAAAATAGAATAACAAAGAAATACATACAATTAAATTAAAATTATAAAAAGTAAAATCAATAAATTAAAACCACATGAATAAGTACAAAAAAAGAAAGGAAATCATGAAAAAACCCTAACACATCATACTTTTAGTTTGGAGACTGTTATTTTTTCATGGTTTTATTTAAACTAATTAAATTGTCTTCAATGTTTTTAAATGTTTTAATTCACCATGATAACAGTTGTCAGTTAATACATTAATAATGATGATGATAATAATAATAATTATGACCATAATATCATTAATGATAATGACCATATTATTATTATTATTATTATTATTATTATTATTATTATTATGGCCATAATTATTAATAATAGTATGGTCATATTCATTAATAATAATTAGGACCATAATATTATTCATAATAATGACCATATTATTATTATTATTATTATTATTATTATCCAAAATAAAAAGTCAGTGATTACATGGCCCCTGTTAGATGTCGTATGTGTCTTTCAGAAATGGAGACTGGAGAAATGGTTGCTGTCCATGGTGCTGAACCCGATGCATTTCATACATCAGTCAGTTTGCAGCAGGCTGAACCTCTACTTTACACTCTACTTTTGCTCCCTGTAGGACTGATTGTGTAAAATTTCTTCATCTCACTCTTCCCTGCCCCGGCTTGTTTGTCTGTAAGCTTGCAGTTTTAAGGCAGTGCAGGCACCACATGTGGCAGTAGAAGTGATGTTTGTGAGAGAACCAGACAAACTGACAGGGGAGATGGAAATAAATGAAAGGTCACTAAAGGTATGGTGGAGAATGAGGGAGAAGTACCACCAGAGTAAACACAATCACACATAAGAAAAGCCCCTTCACAAACACACAAACAGACAGACATTCACACAGCAACCAGTTTACTAGACCTTTCTCTTGCCCACATACACCAGTAAGCCAGGTCATTCAATTGCCAACAGTTAGGTCAAATAAAAATATTTACACTGAGAGAGACTTGATAATAATATTGCATTCGAATTGCACAAGGTTGCCTCAATGTACAGTATCCCCCAGTGTCAGTTTTATCATAATTGCTTTAATACTTCATATACGTACACAATAGTTGTGGCTTTTATACTATTTGACTTTTATAATAGACACTTAACAAACAACTTTAGTACAACCTCAAATCAGAAAAATTGACACGCAAATGAAAAAGAAGAAAGAATAAATTTCTTTTGACTTGTATATCATTGCAGACAATACAACAGCACATGTGTTCCTCACGACTTTTATTATTATTTTTTAAATAAACATGTCTTCCAATTTTGGTTCTTGCAAAACATTTTTAAAAAGTTGGAACAGTAAAGCATTTACCATTTTGTAATGTTACCATTCCATTTTACAACACACTAAAGACAACAAATGGTGTTTCAGGTCTAATTTTGTCCCATTCTTTCAGCAAAAAAGACTTTCTTAAGGAGGGCAACAGTACAGTGTCTTCATTATCGCATTTTAAGCTTCAAAATGCGCCACAGATTCTCTATTGGAGACATGTCAGAACTGCAGGAAGGCCAGTCTTTGTTGTCACATTTCGAGCTTCAAAATGCGCCACAAACCCTCTATTGGAAACAAGTCGGGACTACAGGCAGGCCAGTTTTCATTGTCATATTTTGACACATTTTAACTCTTAACCATGATCTTGAGTACAACCCCAAATCAGAAAAAGTTGAGAGTATGGAAAACATAACTAAAAAAGAAGAAGTGACAGCACATTATTTAATGTGTTCCTCATTACTTATATAATTACTTTTATAAATAAACAGGTCTTCCAATTCTGGTTCTTGCAAAACATTTTTAAAAAATTGGAACAGCAAAGTATTTACCATTTTGTAATGTTGCCATTCCATTTTACAACACATTGAATACACCAAATAGTGTAGTGTTTCAAGTCTAATTTTGTCCCATTCTTCCTGCAAACAAGTCTTTCTTGCAGGCAGGCAGGGCAGTCTTCATTGTCGCATTTTGAGCTTCAAACTGCGCCACATATTCTCTATTGAAGACAGGTCGGGAGTGCAGGCTGGTCAGTCAAGTACCTGTATCCTCTTCCTTCACTGTCAGGACATTGTAATGTGTGCAGAAAGTGGTTTAAAATGGCTCCTGTTCCAACTTTTTTTAGAATGCGTTGCAGGTCAGAATAACAGGAAAGGATGTATATTTCCTAATGAAATAAAGTTAATCAGAAAAAGCATTAAACATTTTGTGTTCATATTATCTGCAATGAAATACAAGTCAAAGTACATTTGCAAATCATTACTTTCTTTCTGTCTTTGCGTTTTCCATACTGTGTCAACCTTTTCTGATTTGGGGTTGTACAATTTATATTACTGTACATTCATAAACATACTTTCAAGCGTGTACACTGTGCAAGACTGTGCAAAGCTTCCTCCAGACACAGATTTGTGCCAGCTTTTCTGTCATGTTACTTGTATAGAGTAAAAAAATGTGTTTTTGACATTTCAATTGCACATGATGACAGAGTGCATAATTATTTGTGAAAAACAGCCATCAACGAGTGCTTGACAAGCTAACGGCCTCCAGAATGAATAGTCCAAATCTAATACATGCAAAGAGCATTGCAGAAGATTAATTTATACCAGTAAAGCCTCTAATGGAGTGGCCTAAAGATATATGTTACATATCCTGCTATTTATTAAAGATGAAAATCTTCCTAGAAAATTGCTGATAAACGAAAAAAAAGTGTCCAAACCACAAGCCCAAAGGTTACCCTAGACTGTAAATCACTGCATGTGTTAAAAAGAGCTAGTACACATGGGAGCATACTGGTCTAGAATATCTGATGTATCTAATGTTGGCAACATGTCTGCACATTATTTATTTATGGCGTGGAAAGCCCATGGGTGATGGTATAGGTGACAGCGGTAAAGATTGCTCTTTGGGGAGATATAAGAGTCATAAAGAGATTAGATTGCGTCAAGATGGTGTTAGGGAGAGTTATGGGTTAAATAAAGGGAGATGAACTGGGTAGTTCAAGTAGAAATGGAGAACATCGGTGTTGGTTGAGGAAAGAGGATGAAGAAGAGGATATTGAAAATGCTTGAGATGATGAGATTGAAAGGATGATGTATTTTAGGGCTCCAGAGCTGTGACACCAGTGCAACAAAGATCCATTGGCTTGCATCACATGTGTAATATTAATAACAGTATGTTTTGTATATGTATTGTATATAATGCAAATGTATAAACAAATTAGCAATGTATTGTATCAGAAAATTAAAAGTATCTTGAACTTGAGATTGTAAAAATAGCAACCTAATTTTTTATACATTGACCATAATAAGGACATCTGTAATGCCTCACTAAGCTAAAGTAGCCTAAGGTTTTTATGGTATTTGTTAGGTAAAAGACAGTAACCTAAAAACATTTAGCATAAATCAAGGTGTTGCATGTCATGTATTTAGTTATTTATGCTATTTTGTTGCCGTCTTTGTTTTTGAGTGAGTAGACTCCTTCGCACCTGTGGATCATTTACCGCCGGCGTTATAAGAGCTCATGCTGCAGAACTTCAGTGAAGGAGATTTGAGCGGCCGTCCAGACGCAGAGTTGTGCCCCATTCTGTGTTCAGACTTAGTTTAGTTTGTGTTTTCTCCCAACCCTTGGTATACTTTGGGTTGATCTGTTAATAAACCCCCTAGACCAATCCATTTGTGTTTTCCCTCATTTGATGTTGTGACCATGGTTGTTACATTAATTGGAGGCTCACCCAAAAGGTTTCGATTATGCTTTTCAGCTGTTCAATGTTGGAGGAAAGTAGTGTGGCCTCCCCGTTCATTTTGTGATTCGTCTGGGTATACTTTTGTGTGAGTGAACGCTTGCATCCCATGTGTGGATATTTACCCTATTTAATTTAGTGACCAGGTAGGTTATGGATCTGCCACTTTGTTATTTTGCCTTTCTTATTTTTGTGGTTATTATTTTACAGTTTAATGCAGCTTTTGTTAAAGTACTTAAAAGAAATAAAAGTAAAAATATGTTTATATATGTATGTATGTATGTGTAACGAAGGGTCTGACACAGAGGGATCCATTTGCAGTATATTTATTAAACAGAGTTTAATAACAATAAGCACACAGATGTTAAGCGTGT